TTGTTATTATTGAAATGTTGGCCTGCTATTAAAGTACATAGTTGATCCTTTATGGAGCAATTTTTGGATCAACAGACCATAGACACACACTAAAATTGACTCTCTGCCACCTTTAATCAGTGTTCAAACCAACCCTCACCCCCTTCTTCTGGCACCAAGTGTGTGTTCAGTCATCCATCTGTTTGTGTATTCACCCACCTGTGCTTGTATGTGTGAATCTACTCTATGAATGTAGCACACTTGCTCAGTCTTTCTACACTGCTGCGCTCTTTATCAAATTTAGTTATATTCCTGCAAATCAGCACTGAGTTGATCAGCAGCCAGCTTCGCTCTCCAAAGCAGAGCTGCGAAGAGTTACTCTTCCATCAGAGATGTATCTGCTGTGCCAGGCTCAGAAATGAAATCTGGCCACCAGTGAATTGCTGTAACGATTTGCCCAATAACCAGGTATTTCTTCTTCAGGATGCTCGTGGTTTGCATCTAGTTTTCATTTGTGTAAAACGGGCGTAAGAGGTGTTGCAATATTAAGGAGGCAGGGAAATGGATGAGTAAGGGCCCGTGTATATTTTTTCACCACCTCTGACAGCTATGAACAAGGGAGAAGGACGATAAATGTCACACACTCACCGGCAGCAACATTCGGTGTCCACCGGCCGATCTGCTCCGACAAACAGGCCTCTCGGTCTCTGTTATGATAGTTTCTGTCTGACAGACACGGCCAAAAACAAGCTTTTCATCCCATTTCTACAGTGATGTCACCAGCACTTTTCTGAAAAGTTTCAATATTTTCAACCCCTTGAGCGGCCGCACAAAAACGTCTTGGCGCTCAGAAAAACGACGCTGGGTGCTGCACCTTCTCTGGAGTCGGCTACCTTCGACGGCATGCGCTTGGTCCTCATTGGAATCAATTGAAAAAGACGCCGCCTCTCAGAAAAAGGCGCTATATGGACTCATGAAATGTGGCGGAGATATAAACTGATATGTAAAATGTGGATAGAAACAGACCTTCGCCTCACCATTCCTGCTTGGACACTTCTTTCATGTGGCCAGTTGTCACGTCACCCCACTGCACTCACTTGGGTGTAAGTGTGTTTTGTCATTCAGGAGTTGTGAAGGTCAGCCTAACCTGCCATCTCTCTCAGCTCGGCCACCATTATTAGGACTTGTTGTCCTTTCAGCCTGAGCTTAATAGCCTGCCGCTTTTTTCCTTTTCCCCATCTTTCTATCGCTCTCCTCTCTCTCCCCCCCCCTCTCTCTCTCTCTCCCTCATTGTCTCTGGCAGCTTTGTGGCTCTAGCGTCTGGCTGCAGTTGCAGAAGCAGCAGTCACATACCTGCGTTCAAGTGGAACAAACAGGATGGTTGGCTGCTCACGGAAGGTCATCAGCCCTGGGCACAGCACGTGTGTGTGTGTGTGTGCACGCCGGCGTCCGTGCGTGTATCCGTGTTTTTTCTCTACTTTAAAAAGAGATGAAGCTTTACAGTGTTCCTGAAGCAAAACCAATAGATGATCTTCCAAGTGTATTTTTACTGTGACAAATGCTCTTTATGTGTGAGGGATAGCTTGTGCTATTGTAAATACTTTCAAGAACTACAACTACTTTCAATATGTATTTATTTCTGAGTGTTGGACCCATGTGACTTAGGGTGACCACGGCTTGTGTTCTTATACATTTCATGGTAACATTTTCAGCTCCAGTGTACACAACTTCTGTGTTTGCTTCTCATAGCGTGACTATACTAGAGCCCTGTTTTTTTATGCTTCTGTTATAAGCATGATAGAATAAAAGCACGAAAAGTATCAATTTTGTCAATATTCTCAATCCTTTCTCCGGTTTCACTTGCATGTAAACACTACCCAAACCAGAAAGAGGCCTTAAGCCTCGGCTCTGTTGGCATGCTGCTCATGTTAAGCCTACCATGTAGACAAAGCGTTAGCCCTAATTCACACGTGAAGCTACAAAGAGAGTAGATGGAGCAGCAGGATTTAATTTTCACTGGAAACCCTCAAGTATCTAGCAGTGCACTGTTCGGCAACTCAAACAACAATAGATCTGTTGTTGCTTGCAACAGAGAACAAATACACAGCACGCTGAACTGCCCATCTGCAGAGTCAGAGCTGAAAATAGAAAACAATAAAAAGACACCAACCACAAAACATTCCAGATTCGGGGGCAAGGGATCGCCTGCCTCTTCATATTGTTGATTCTATCTGCCTCTGTTGGTCCTATCATTAATTTTGTATGCAGTTGTGCAACTCTAAATGTCATTTAGCAGTCTAGTGCTTCATAGAGATCTTTCCAACAGGGAGGCAAATGTGTTTTCCATCGTTTTATTTGTACCTGTCACTGTGACATTCACACTCAACACAGAGTCAGAGGTCAACAGGACGCCCTGTGGCTGTGCTTGGTATCAAATCCCACCCTAAGCCCACCCACTTGCTACCACCCTCAAGGTGCCTCAGTGATGGCCACCAGTCTAATAAAACGTGACACTCTAGTCTTTGTCTTCCATAATTAGTGCCGCACGTTTGATTAAAAGCCAAGCCATGTCAGCTCCATTGCAGAGTGGGAAGCGTGTTTATATTCCAGCATTTGTGTCTGTGCATATAATGTGTGCACACGGCTGTATGTAATGGTGCTAATAATGCACATGCAGGTCTAATGCCATACAGAAAAAGAATCCTGGTTGATCTCGGGGTTTACGAAGCGTGGCTGCGTTTTCGGTCTTCATTAACCTTGCTCGCCCTCAATCCCCGGAATTTCCACCTGTTTTTTTCGGTCCTTCCTTCTAGAGCTCCTTCCGTTATTTATTATTATTTTTTTTTTTACAGCGTTTGTGGGATGAATAATTGAATGGGTAATTGGGTAGTGTGACCCTGTCTTTTGTTGGGGGGTGGTCAGGGCAGCAGTCACTTGTTTCATGGGTAACAGTTGCAAGCATTTCTTCTATGATTATTAATCTTATTTTATTTCCCCTTCTCATTCTCTCATTCACCAATTTATTTTGCGAGCACAGACACACGCAGTTCCCTCCTGTAAGACTCATCACCACATCAATGAGGTAAAAGGATAATCATAGCATGCTGAAGAGCCAGAATATTAGCAGCCTCGGGTATGATTAACTAAGCCTTTACACTAGCATAGCTCTGCAGATGAGCTAAGGCAAGAGGGAAAAAAATGACAACATTAAAACTAGCTAATCTAATTAGCTCTATGATACCATGCCGTTAAATAATTACCCAGAACCTAATTGGCTAATATCACTGCCTTATTAAAAATAAAAATAAAAATCTGGCTGCCTTTTTCCCCCCCTCTCTTTCTCTAACCTTTGAAAGTAAACACTTCCCAAATAGCCTGCAGAAATTACAAGAGAAAACACGCTGAGCTGCTGCTGCTGATGCACAAGAAGTTGGAGCACCGTGGAGCTCGGTTGCACTATTTGACTTTTGAGTTCCCCGCCCCTCTTCACTCCCCGTCTCCCCCCGCACACCGCCCTCACTCCCCTACTCCTTCGTTTCATCTGCAGGGAGTTGATTGGATCGCTTTCATCCTGACCATCCTGTGTCGGGACACTTGCTTTAATACATTTACTGTACTTGAAGCTGTATACAAACACCTTATATACTGTCTTGACAACCACCTACTCTTTCTGCCGCATCCCTTGCTCTCTGTAAACACACACGCACACGCACACGCACACACACCCACACACATACATCCATGCAGTTTGATATGTGGCCCAAGGCAAAGCACTTCTCCCTAATGAGCCTCCTGCCCTCTGTTTCTCCTGGGGAGCTGAAAGAGAAGTAACCTTGATGCAGAATAGAAAGGATTCAGCCTGCTTACACACACATACACACATTGCTATGTTTGCGAGGAACCTCATTGACTGCATTATTTCCCTAACCTGTTATATCATCAACAACTCTACAGTACATGGCTAACCTCAACCTGCATCCTTACCTGATTCTAACAATAACGTTTAACCCTAGCCAAAATATCCTCACATTACACAACTGCCGAGGTCTAAAACTTAACACACGGAATTGGTTGTTGGACTTGTCCACAGTATCACACGCGTCCTGTTTGGGCCAAACAACACAAACACCCATATCCACCCACCTTGTATTATTGAGGCGAATTTGGGCATGTTGGATGCTTTTCTCTGTTATATTTTCTATCTTCAAGATTGTTTTGTTTGTCACTTGTTAACAGAAATCTAGTCTCCATTATGAGCAAAACCTTGTTTCTTGCAATTTAATTTGAAACATTAACTCTAAGTTAGGGCTGCAAGTAGTAATTGTTTTTATGTATTTTACCCGAAACTACAGCCTATTCTCTTGAGTAATCACTGATCATGTCTTGAAAACTGAAACTCATTTGGAAACTTTTACCGTGAGGATTATCCAGTTTCTAATCATTTTCAGAGTCGTTTATGAAAACCATGGTTACTTTCAAATCATCGGCGAGGCATGTTGAATCAGTCGATTGGTCTATTACCACTTCTATGATTACCCTTACCATCGAGACAAAAGGATCTCCACAATTATGTGCTTTGAATTGAAACATATTTTTTGCATAACCGTGGTTCAGAAAGCCGGGTAGAAATGATACATTGTACTATATACTGGTAGCATCGTGGGTTTGAGTTTGGCCCAACATAATGAGTAATACATGTTGATTTGAAAATAAGTAATGCGTCAGTGCCTGCCTTTATGGCTATCTCTTTCATTATAATGATGCTTTCACAAACATTTGACCCAATTACAGTGAAAATGTATGCATTTTTCTGCCTCACTCAAAACATATTTCAAAAATATTAAGTAACTGGACAAATGTAACATTAAACCGTTGTTAGTTTGACTCAAGTTCTCAATCTATTATCTCTTTCTCAAATGATATAAAGAGTACTCCAAACTGCTTAAGCAGAAGTCTGGTATGTATGCCTTCACTGACCACTCTGTGTTCCTTGTGTGTGTGTGTGTGTGTGTGTTCTCCAGATCTGGGCCAATTACGAGGAGAAACCAGTGGAGGAGGTTGTGTATGTAACAGAAGAAAAAGAACGAGTGGCCAACTACAGACCAGTATTTGTCACGGAAATCTGCGACACCCTGCACTTCTACACCCAGGACGTAGAGACAGGTATGTCAGCATTGTGTTTTGTGTGCTTGAAAAATGTGTGAGTAACAGACTTAAATAATATATATTTCTTTAATGTACAAAATCAACTCAAAAACACCGCTATTTATAAGTCAATTAGTACATATTTTCATTGCGGTTGAAACATTTTGTAGGACTCAGTGACTATTTCATCATCCTCTTCACCAAATACCAACATTTCTCAGGTCCAAACAAGGGCTCTCTGACTTCTGATTCCCTTTTAATAGCACACTGACTTTATGAATGACAATTATCTCTACCACTCTGACATTCCCCCTCACCCCCCGCAGCCCCCCCTCCCACTAGCGAAGACAAATCAAAGGACGTCCTCCTTGATATTACTACTGAATGACAGGAATACATCACACCATCCCTTCCTGTCAGCAGTGACAGGGGGAGGAAAGGAGAGAAAAGTTTAGAGATGGGAAAACTAACAATCCCTAGTATTCCCGCATGGCTGCTCCCACTGACAAGCTCTGTTTGTGTGTGTGTGTGTGTGTGTGTGTGTGTATCTCTGAATGACTGCACCCTTAATGCCTCCCTACATTCTGTTTTGTTCTGGGTAACGGTCCATCTTTTTAGGTAGTATACTTAATGAGCCGTCATCCTCAATATCAAAATCAAGCTGTGTGTATATGTATACATGTTTTATTACAAGCACATACACACAGCATGTTGTTGTCACTAAGTTGTCAACGGTAGCAACAGTAACTAAGGGCCGACAGAGCTTAAAGCTACATTTCACTCAGCAAACACAGAAACTTGGCAAGCGTCATCTACTGAATCATTAGAATTTGAACCAACCTGTGTTTGTTGCATTTGATTTTCTGACTTAATCAGTGTAACAATTACACCAAAACCTGCACTCACAAACTAGCTGGAACAGTTGTGAAGCCTCCAATGCCAATCACTGCCCCTTCATCGTGTGCCAGCCTGTGTGTGGGGGGGCACAGGATGCTGAAGTCTTCCTCTCTCAGCCGCCCCGCACATCTGGCCCCAATGCCAGTCGCCTTTCGGAGGCCATGAAATCGACTTTGGCCACCTCTTAATTTGCCTCACTGCCATAATTAATTAATTTGCCTTCATTTACTGCCAATCTGAGCCTAAGCATCACTCACATCATAATAATCCAATCACAAATGAGTGTGGAAAGCATTTGGCCCCCTCAATTGTTCCTTTGAAAGCCCCTCTACCTTTCTTTCCTCCTGGGGTTAATAAGAGTGCAAAAACAATCTGTTATTCATCTCCCCGCCTTGATTTGAAGCCTTTACATTCCCTCTGGCTACTTCAGCTTCCTTCCCCTGCAGGTCAGACGAGATGTTGAGGTTATGTGTGACGTTTTATCACTGATCAGAATCACGTGTAACTGGCAGGAGGCTGAAATGTACAGCACATGTAAACCTGAGGCCTTCAGCATCACTCACTGTCAGCTGGGAAAAAGTAAAGGCAAGATGCGTTGTGGAATTTATAATCTAATGGGTTTGGGGTTTGGGGGCTTGTAAGTACTTGAGCTTCACATGAAAGAGCAAGTCAAACTGTTTTTATAAATTCAAAGCATATATCCCATATATTCTTTAGGGTCTGTAAGGGAAGCAACTGAAGTGTTGCATTTAACAAAATGTACACAAACTGCATTTTTTATATTGCTGCTCTCAGTGTGTTTTGACAGGAGAGCTGTGAGATGTTTAATATTTCTCATATAAAGGCGTGTTTTTAGATGATCCAGCAATGCTGCAGCCTTTTTATTTATTTATTTTCTCCCTTTAATTGCCTCGTGTTCTTCCACCAAGAAGCTTACGTGCTAGTTTAAAAAAAATTGTTATTCTCAGCAGGGAGGCAAAACCTGACCAGTCCTCACCCTTTCCTACCTCTCCTCATCTCCCTCTACATCACACTGTTTGCCCCTCCCCGCCTTCCTCCATCTCCTTTTCTCCCTTGGTCTCTTTCATTTTCGCTGACGCTCCCTCAAAGCTACATTAAGTCATACCAACCCCTTGAAGAGCACATCAAAGTGTTAGGGCCTGTAAAATCATACAAGCTGAGTGCTTTGCAATATCATTACATGTTCCACTCCCCCCCCCTCTCTCTTCGCTTTCCCTCAATTTCTCAAGTGAAGGAATGTATATATAAACTCAGATAAGCTTCCAAGCAGAGTCTGAGTTTCATAAATACGCTTGTGATTGTGACTGATGGCAACACAACTTTGCATAAATGAAAAAGCGGGATCATTTGTGCCAAAGTTCACTTCTGTATGTTATGACCTCATCCCATGGGTTTCCTGCACTTTGGCCAGAGCGTTAAACCAATGACGCCTGTCACTGAATTGATGCAGAACACTAATAAAAGCTGACACTTCACTAAAATGACAGACAGCTAGTAATGCATGCAATACTGTAAACATCCCTGCAGTTTATCATAATACAAGAGCACTTAATGCCCTCTGTGACACTCCCAATTCAAATACTTCTCTTGGTTGTTTACAACACCTACCCATTTTCTGCTCTGCAGTTACAAATTCACCGGCTCAGAGTCACATTTCCGAGTGTTTTTTGGCACTGCTACCGGCACTCCATTTGCCAGATGGAGCAAACACTTTCATTGAGTACTCCTTGACCATCCTTGAGGTATAGCACACTTGTGACATAGAGTGCCAGCTAACTGTCTCTCCCCCGGTCTCGCCTGATGTTCAGTTTGGAAGCCGGGGATGAGCCTCACTGAATAAAAACATGGAGAAAATAAAACGGCGGTGCCACTTATGGCCAATGCGAGACCATTTACTTAACTTCAATAATCCCAGATTTTATTGTGGGTGTAAAAACCAATCATGAAAGGTAGCTGTATTTATAGAAGCAGAAATGATTAAAAATGCATCTGGGACTGGCAGAGAAAGTAATGTTTCTGTCTGGCGTTAAGCTCCCATTTGTTTCCAACCGTATCCTCAATAAGATAAGATGAACTTTATTGATTCGAAGTAGGAAAATGAAAGTGTCACAGCAGCGAGATGAGAAGAAGAAGCCGTGAAATGTTCCGGGTAGCAAGATAATTCTCACAATAAGGAGCAGGAGCTGTGAACCAGGGTTTCACAGTGATTAAAAGTCAATTCAAATAAATTAACATTCTACAGAAGACAACAAAGTAAAATAAAGAATGATATCCATAGGAACATACACTTTGAGGCAGATGGCAGCACGATATAGTCGCCACTAGGGCAAGATAGCAGTTTAATAGCTGTACAGTAAGTGGTCAGTACATCTGTTTCATAGCAATAAAGAAAACACAGGAAAAAACATTATAAAAACCATAGGATAACCACCATCAATATGCAAATGCTATTACCAACCATTAATCCTATGGGAGTCTGGAGTCCAGGATTTATTTGTATTTGTAATGTGGTCTCACTGAGGGCAGTGGTGAATGGAGTGGACACAGCTGTTGTTGCACTTAAACGAACATAGGCCCATGAAATCATCCTTACGCTGTTAGCTACTAAGTGGTTCTTTTGTGGAGGAAGCGTGGTATGTAATATATTTATATTCTCCGGGGGTCCTTAGCGCTCTGTTTTACCACTTTTCCCATTTTAATTATTCACATTTAATTACTCTTAAGTGCTGCTTTTTTTCATGTATGGATATCTTTACACATGCCCGATAAGTGGATAAATTCACGTTAGGAATGGGTTTTTTTCCTCCAGTCACTGAGAAGCTTGAGGGATTGCGCTGTTAAATCCTCCGTTTATTTTAAGGTTCTTTATCTGTTGCTGTATGCGGTTATCTCTCATTGTCTCACTTTCCTCCCCGCTCACATTGTCTCTTCCTGGTTCTGCTTTCTCCCTTTTCTCTCCCAATTTTCCTTTTTCTGTATTGCTCTGTCTCCGAAGGCTATATGTAATTACTGTCAGAGGGGGACCTGCATAGATCTGTGTGACCTTGGACACTAAAAGACAGAGGCCACTCCAGGCACAGGGGGGGAGCAAGTGACTATGCTGTACATTGCTGTTGCTTTGCCTCTATGCTGCAGAGTCCACATAATTAAAAAACTTGCTAAATATAGCCCTGAAGTCTTTATGGGTGCGTAGCTGCAATCGCTGCGGCCTGAATATTGGATGCTCTGCTGCTTTTCAAGTTTTTCTAATCAAAGACATAAAGTACAGGAGTATTAGTTTCCCTAAAACCTCATAAGCTGAGCTCCAGTTGAAAAGTCTATACTGTACTAGATTTGAATGGAACTAGAAGGATACATTGGATTCTTAGTGCAGATATGTTGTCCATACAGTGTTGTATATTCAATGTATGTAACCATGCTTATTCTTAAAAGTCATCAAACCCATAAGTGAAATCAAAATAAGGCCTTTTTTGGTATTTAAATGTCTCAATAATCTTTTTTCAAACATTTTAAACATGTTATGAAAATGGGAAGTATTTTATTGCTACTTTTCTTCTTACGGAAAGTGGAAAAATGTTCATTTCGAGTGGCATTTCAAAAGTCTTAAATCTAACCTTAGGAACCCTGGGGTAAGCTACAAACCTCAGACATTTTAGATGTAATAATGGCCTAGTACCGACTGCATCGCTGGACACCACTGCAGGCTCTTCTTTGCCGAGCTAGCAGCCTCTTCCTGTTTTGGACCTCTCTCAGTCGTCACCTCCGCAGGGCCGGTTGCTAGGCACGGGCATCGGCCGGCAAACGCACGTTTTCTGCCCACCTCGAGCCTCAGCTGTGGCGCAGTTGGCGGTACATCCTGTCTGGTGCTTGTTTCCTGGCACTCATACAGACTCATAATGAGTAGAGTCGTTCCCCCCCAACCAGGTGCCACTCCGTCCACATTATTCACACTTCTACCTTTTACACACAGCAGCTGTTCATCACCTAATGATGCTGGACCTAGCTACTGATGGAGCAAGGCAGGCAGGGAGCTGTTCTCTCTCTGGCTGCACTTCAATCCTGGCCCCTTTCTGTCTTTGGGGATTGAATTCCATTACTTT